AGAACTCATATAAGCTTATGTGTCGGTGTAATTACTGAAATGATGTTATAAACACATTTAATTGAAGTGCAGCTTTTGTTGTACAATTAACACAAAAACATATTAACACATTGTGCAATTAACACGTTGCTATAACTAACCGTTGAAGGATATTTCTTTGTGAGATAGCTTATATCTGCTTTTGGACGATTTTCAATTGACATCTGTAGGGGCCTTTTAGAAACGGTAAAATTGTAAAAGTATTGATAAAATAAAGTGTACAAGTGTGTGTTGCAATTAGAATATGCTATTATTAATTTTGTCATAGTTGATAACTATTTTTTTTCAGGATATACTATTATTTATTCAATAAAAAATTCTCTTTAACTACAGGTATCAAACACTTGCGTGATATGTGGGCACTCCCCTCTAGTGCGACAATATGCTGTACATACATGTAAACTATTCGTGTTTTCTTTGGTAAATAAAGCTTTAGTTTTTTTTTTTTTGGACCAACACGTACCGTTGTTAACAGAAATATGATTTTATCGGTCATTTATAATTGTAAGGAGTATAATAACATTAGCATATGCCCAAATGAATGAGACGACACCAATTGTACCCATTTTATTTATCGCATACAAAAACATACCAGAATCTCAATTTATATCCAGCCATATACGTCTTAATTGAGTTAATAAGGATATAACTTGGACAGTAGAGTTGCTAGACAGTTGTATCAAAAAAGAACTCTTGGTCTATTCAAATGTATCCAATTTAAAAATCTATTAGAAATCTCCAAAATGAAAACATAAATTTAAGCTCTTAGAAAATTAGATTAAGAACTACTAGCTTTGAGAAATTAAATTGATCTCTTCAAGAGAAAAAAAAATTAAAAAGAAAAAGAAAAAGTGGATATATGCATGTTATTCTGGTAGCATTGAACAACAGAATGTCAAAGTGTAATCAATAAGGAATTTTTTAACAGATGTATTCATGGTGAAGGACAGCATATTGACCAAAGCACAATAAAAGGATGCTTTGGTGGTATACTATAGAAAAGAAGGTAAAAAATTGGTGCTAATGAAAGAACAACAATTAGATCTTTTCCTTAAGTTAAAGAACAGTGTTTTAAAAAGTGAAGGCATTGGGCACCGCGTTTCGTATCTACCCAGACGAGGCAAAAGCCTTAAGGCATGGAGCGTAAGTCCCATAAATTTTATTTATATTTTAAATATTTTAAAAATATAAAAATACAAAAATATTATATATATATATATATATATATATGCATGCACGTGTGTGTTATAATATTAAAAATACCAAAAAAAAGGATTAGATAAAATAAAGAAAAATTGTAACCTTATGCCTTCATAAGAAAAGTAAAACTTGTTTGTGTGACTAAAATAAAACATGCTTATATGACCAATGCCATGCCATGAGTAGAAACCCAACAAACTATTGTAAATTTTGATGATTAATTGCATAAAAGGTTTGATATCATCCAGCAAACTAATGATCACAGTTGCTAAAACTTTTTTTCAGAGCACTAGTAAATAATATTTGTGAGTTTTGATTATCAAAGCGAATGTCTTTCTCCTATTTCTTTAGAGTATCCTCAATGTGAGGCATAAAGTCTAAAATTTCACCTCCTTTGCATCATTAAATTCTAAACTAACATTTGTGTTCGCCAACTTAAACTTGTAGGCTTACATAAGAAAGGTTTTCAAAAAATTGCAAGTTCAGATTGAGGGTCTCAACTTCGTTAAGCAAAGGACGAGAAAATCTAGGTTGGATGTTCTTCTGGAGCTTAAAAAAAGGGAAAAAAGTGTTTGTATTTTAAATGCATATGTTTTTTTACGCCTTAAAGAAAAAACTCGCCCGCCCCATGACACTAATGTCCCATTTGACCGCTCAGGGGCAATTCGGGAGCGCCTTGCCCCAGGGCTAATCCCAAATACGCCTTTCAAAATACTAGTTAAGAATCACCAATCTCATCTAAAACATACACAGAGGATGACTGAAAAATCATGTATTACTCTCTGCCTAAAATAAATTATAATTTGATTATGACTCATGTGAAGGATTTCTGCATAACAACTTACTGTATACTTGGATATGGCATGAATTTCATGCTTTAACCAACACCAAATGTGAGTGACTACTCGCTGTGAATTCTAAAGACAAAGTCATGAAAGATTGCAAGAAATCCTACCGTCTAGTACATATCAACTAAAGCTGCTGCAGGATTTGTGGATTTGGACAGCGGGCTATGCAATGTACTAATGAATTGTTCAACGTCCATCTGAAGCTATATTTCCTTGTGACTTCAAAGTTATTCAACTTTTGGATGATGAGAATCAGAAACTAGCCGCAACCACCCACAAAGATGGAGTATAATTTACCACTTACATGACGAGTGCTGAATGGTAAGTCTTTTTCGTTTTATTTGATGACAAGAAACATGTTATCGATATTCAAAAGGGTTAACTCTGCATTTTAGATAGAAAATTATTTGAAAAATTTTAGGTTTAAAGTTAAAAAATGATTAAAAAAATATTTATGATCTAATAAATTCTTTTCCCAAATAATGACGTATACAAACAAACCCTATGAATAGGCCAATTCTTGGCGCATGAATACATAGAAAAATCATATACCGAGCATGCAACCTTTATGTAAAATTGGAATGCATTTTTGTAAGGAGAACAGAGCCTAATTAGTCAGGTGCAAATAACCTCCACATCAAAATAAAAGATTGGGCTGAAGATTATTTTTAAAAAATTTAATCATTTATTATAATACTTTTGTGACGTGACGTATGTAAGACAAAATAATGATTCAAAACTTATTTAGAGAATAATAGAAAAAAATTCTTTTTTGGTCAGGTGCAAATAACCTCCACATCAAAATAAAAGATGGGGCTGAAGATTATTTTTAAAAAAATTTAATCATTTATTATAATACTTTTGTGTGACGTGACGTATGTATGTAAGACAAAACAATGATTCAAAACTTATTTAGAGAATAATAGAAAAAAAATCTTTTTTGGCTATAAACTTATTTGACCAAAGGGAGCCATTGATTTGTATATATTGTTTTTTAATTTGGGATAAGAAGAGTACTATTGATCAGGTTGAAAAGGTAAAAGTCTGTTAGTTTGACAGATAATTCCTAGTTCGTACATTGTACAGTAAAAATATCATAATCAAAGAGCACAATCATCTGATGATGATTGGATGGTAACAATCTGTAATTTCTAATTCCAAAATAGTAAATTTGGATGCGCAAAGCATGCAAGGTGAATAAGAAAGAAAGGACTAAGAAGGATAATCTAGGGTTGTTAGAGTAAAAGAAGTTAACTGTGGGAAGTGTACTAATGTCCTTTCCTTCATTCACCTCGTGAAAGAAAGAACGGTTACAAGAAGAAAGATAAGTGGTAGTACATATGAGACAGGTACTGTGGTACCCTTAATACCAGGGGTATTCTGCCCCTCCTTTTACTTTCTTTCCTATTTATAGAGGCGCAAAGAGGCCCCTGATATAGCCTGGCTAGGTCACTCCAAACCAAACAAACTCTTCCTTTCTCTTTCCCTTTCTTTCTCTCTCAATCTCTGTTCATCCGGCTCTTTCTCATTACTAGTCCCCTCTAGAACAAACGGTACTGCTACTGCAACTACTTCCTTCCTTTCTTTTCCTACTGCAACTTCTGCTGTTGCTGCTGCTAGCAGCTGCAACTTTTTTTTTCTGCTGTTGGTGCAAAGAGTTATTAAAGGAATTTAAAAAGGAAAATATATATATATATATATTTATAAGGATGGGAGAAGAAGGTAAAGGTGATTTTGTTGACAGAAGATAGAGAGCACAGATGATGAAATGCATGGAGTCTTGCTGCATCTCACTCCTTTGTGCTCTCTATGCTTCTGTCATCATTTTCAGCCGCTCACTCTCCCCATTTTTTTAGTTTTTTCCTCTACCGCTTTTCATCATTCTATCCTTCTCAACTAGCTATCTAGCTTCAGGTATGTATATCTTGCTAGTTAGCAGTAGACTACTAGTAGACAATTATATTCTTGCCCAGATTTTTTAGTTGAATTTCCCCCCACATGGTCATAGACTTGAGAATTTCTATCTTTTCTTCATATACTTTACAATTTTGTGTTTTGCTTTCTTGGTTTTCCTTTTCGAGTTGGGATGAGGGATAAAAGGGATTCATTGATTGGATTATTGCATGCTACGGCAGTCTAATGTCACAGTTTGTGCCTCTGTGTTGTTATCTTATGCTGTTTTTGAGTCATGATATCTGAACAAGATCTGGAGGTAAATGAATCTGGGCTTCCTTGTATTCCCATATCTTGGAAAGTGCTAGATCAATGGATACATTTCCTCTGCTGTGTTGTCATGATTTCATTGGGGAATTTGATTTTTCTTTTATCCCTTCCTTGGGGAACAAATGGACTTAATTTTATTTTAATGTTGACTTAGCAATTTCTGATTGGTTTCTCTATGGCTAATCAAGAAATCCCTTTAAAATCCTCGCTTAGTGTGGCTTTGCCTCTTTGCCAACACGTATTCTCATGCTTATTTGATTCATCTTTATGATTTTGCATTACTAGTTACCAAAATCATATGGGTTTTTTGGAGAAATTTGACCGAGCTGGAGCGGTAACATGCCCGGAATATTTGTAATCAAGAAGCAGGTTATAATTTCTGATGAGCACATCTCTTGTGGCCATAGTTGATATATTTCCTTTGTGAGTTAGTATTTTCTTCCCCCTCACTTCCTGACCGAGAGAGCAGTAAATTTTAACATAACGAAGTTCTTGATATGGGCTATATATCAACATATTCTATTTTCATCTTGATAATTTCTTCATTCACTTAAGACATATTTGTCCAAATTGGCTACCAATTACAGGAGCATTTTTTTGGCAAGGACAAGTAGAAACCAGCTGCGAATTCAACAGGCTGGAAGCTGGATATGGATAGGAAGAGAGTTTGTCTCCACTATTAAGGTCATTTCCATTTGAAGGAATTAATTTCTCGTTCATTGTTTTTTTTTTGTATCTGAGGAGCTTTTTCTCTGCTGTTTTGGTTCAAACCCATTGATGACATGGTAGATATCTTAACTGAAGTGATTCTGACAAAAGTCAGTACCACTTGCCACATGTGGTCCGTAATATTGGAGGGCCAACTAGGAATATATTTTGAAATCACTCTATTTCTAAGAAATGATAGCATAATTGGGGCCATGTTACTCTTAAAGCTTAATTGTTGCCAAATGGAAGGAAGACTATATATAATGCATACAATTCATCTTTAAAAATTACAAAAGAAATGTAATGCTTATATTAGTTAATGGGGCTGGAAAATTTAGGCAAGGATGTTTTATGGTAGTCATAGGTGTCACGATCTTAGTTCCTTCTGAATCAGAAAATCAACTATGATTATCTATTTCATAACAATGAGAAAGTCCTTGAGCTTTAACTAGACTAGATATTGAAAAACCACGATTTATGGATTTATTCTTAGCTAGTATGATTCATTGGATTTGAGAGCTTAATGGTCGTTCAGATAACACATGTAAAGATAGATGTATTCACGATCATATTCAATTAGCATGTGATTTTAGCCAGCAAACTGGGGACTTAGTAATTAGTATGTATGAATAGGCAACATCTTGTAATTCTGTCTTGAAGTTTGGCTTGTGATTTCAATGTTAAGCTAGTTAGAAATGTGATTTTATAGTGCAATAGTTTATGAAAATCTTCTCCGGGCATGTAATTAAGAGCAGAATCAGAAAATCACAAAATAGGATATGTTAGCAATGTCAAATTCTCAATATCAAATATCTTTAACATAGGCATCCTTGGGCGGGGCTGTACTAGCCTTAGGGAATTAGTCTGGCCAAATAAAGTCTGGGACACCCCCAATTGAAATATATATATATATATATATATCTTTAAAATAGGCGAATCCGAGATGTTTTGTTGTTGTTAGCAATGAATACCAGAGATGTATGGTAACTATGATGTAAACATGAGAGGAATCATGAAGGGAACCTTTTTTGAAGAATGTTTACATGAGATACAGGGTGCATTATACAATTAAGTTCTTTGATATAGCAAAAATTATTTTCCTTCTTGAACTTAAATGTAATTACGTTCCTTGAAATCATCTAGATGTTATGAAGTCATTCCAGATAGGAACTAATGTGACTTAAGTACTACTTTCTGCATATGATTGCAAATGAACTACTTACCTTTCTTTCCATTTTTAGGATTAGAACACAACAAAAGAGAAAAAAAAAGGTTGATCCGGGATTTCAGATTAAAAACCTTCCAAAAAAAAAGAATCCCTTGTTTAGGAAGTGGACCTATGTGGAATATAATTCTGCACACTGTGTTTTTTTAAAAAAAAAAAATTTTCCTTCATAAAGTGCCCTAGATGTTCCTGCTTCATATATGGAAGTTAACTCTTTTTCCTTTTTTTTTTCTTTTTTACGCTTTGCAAACAACTCCTATATCAGGCTTAGCTCCTAAAATCCAGTAAGCATTTTTTTTAGCAGTAACTTCTTTTTTTTTTTTTCCTTTTTTTTGGTATAAAAGCTGTCAAAAAAGCATATTATGGCATAGAGCCAATACTTATAAATCATATTTCTTCTAAAAATCATCTTACAAAAATCACAAAAAGCTTCAGTGATGCCCTTAGTTGGACCAAGGATATGTGTTATCATCTGATGACAATAGAAGCTTTAAAGTAGGAGGCAAAGATTAGATGTGCATGTGATCAAGTGTAACTTGGCAATCACATAAAATTAATAAGCTTTTATTGTTAGGGCTCCAGTGAATCATTTGATCTTGAAAGATATCTTGGAGTTCTATAGTGTATCCCTGTTGATTTTTCAGATTTGTTGTAGATTACAAATCTATTTATACTTGTTGCATGTTTAATTGTTCTTTGATATTAATATAGATTTATTGTAATGAAATTTTGTCGTTTATCAAAAAACCTTTTTTAGTATTTGTTATGCCTTCGTCTTTGATAATTCTATTTTTGAGATTGTTTACTAGCATCTAGAGTTTAAGATACTATTATCAACTCTTATGGTATGAGGAATTGCAATTCTCGTTTGGAACCTGAAAAAATGTATGTACAGACCTTGCTGGCTTGCTCTACATTTAAGCCATTATTCAGTTTGCGAGGAGAGGGTTGAGTTGGGTGATTTAGGGTGAGAAGGTGTGAGTGAAAGATCCCAAGTTTGATACCTCCTACTTATGTTTAAAGGAAAAAGATATTATTCATTTGAAATCAAATTAAGTTACGTGCCTAAATTACTATACTCTTTCTCTTGTCTGCCTTATATTTTTGCACGAAGCTTAATTAGGTCTCATTCTCTAATATTGGTTATTGGTACAATGGCAGAGTTAGGACCATTATTGAGAGGGTGAAATAATTTTAGGTTGAAGTGATTTGTAAGCTTTTGGTACAACTTAGTGTTTATTAAAAATTTAATCGGCATGAACCAATTTATTCAGTATTACAACAACAAAATTAAAAAGCATTGTCTATATAGCTTATTATTTACTATGTGCAGGAGTTTTCTAGTCATCTAATGGTATAAAATCATAGTTAATATTACGAACAAAATTATAAGGTGTACATTCTAAAATAGATAGGATAGGCAGATAATCTTCACAATTAAAATATTAAATAAATATCAAATTTGCATGTAATTCAACTTGTATGGTTGGGCATATAAGTGAAGCTCAATTTTAAGTAAAAAAGATTTATTAGAAAGGAACAAAAATATCATGGTATTTTATTTGAAGCTTTGATTTTAAGAATAATTAGAGCAACTATAGAAAATTTCAACACTTTTGAGGGGCAATTATAGGGCTAGATGGAATATTTTAAAAATTCAAGAGGGGCAAAAGTGAAGCAACACTAAAAAGCTAAAATTTTTTATAGGCCATTTTATAATTTTCAAAAATTTGAGGGGGTGCAATTGCAACCTCTTAAGAGAGTGTAGCTCCGCCCCCGATTGGTACCCATCACATTGGGACATTGCATTTCCAAGTTGTTTTGGTGGCTTTATCTTTAACTTAGGGATTGCTAGTACTTGCCTGAATTGGAACAAGGGTCTAGGGCCAATAAGGGGGGTGGATAAATTATAATCTCCAGGGCGAAAATAGAAATGGTAAAATGTCTCAATGAAGCAGTAGTAGTAGTAGTAAAATTTAGAACTAGAATGATGCTTTCTCTTTCTGAGTTGAAATAGGCGGATTTTGCCCGGAAGGTAAAGATTCTAATCATTGGAGGAAGGTGGGGTCGATGCTTGCTAGATTTGGAAATGCTGGACCAGCCATGTGAGCCCTCGGTGGAAAGGGAGGATGTCATTTTGCTATTTGGACGAAAACATGAACCAAATTATTCGATACTCGTTCGAATTAAACTCACTGTAATAAGAGTTCGTTCGAACTTGATTCGCTGATTAGTCAAGTCACACTCATTGTAATAAGAACTCGTTCGAAATTGATTCGCTGATTAGTCAAGTCAAATTTGAACAACGCTTTATATTCCTTAACATTCAAGTTCAATAAAATATTAGTTCAAACTTGATTTGACAAATAAACAATCTAAAATTTGAACCAAATTTCATTTGAGAAAAAAAAAACAGACATTATTCATTCGAAAAGAAAGTAAATCAGAACAAGATACGTGCCGAAAGTACTGTACTCTTTCCCCCATCTACCTTACACATTTTTGCACTAAGCTTAATTAGGTCTCATTCTCTAATGGTAGTTATTAGTACTAATTAGTCACATTGGGACATTGCACTTCCAAGTCGTTTTGGTGACTTCATCTCTAACGAAGGGATTGCTAGTACTTGCATGAATTGGAACTAGGGTCTAGGGATAATGAGTGGGTGGATAACTTGCAGTATTCTCTAGGTGGTGAAAATAGAAATGGTAAAATAACTCAAATGAAGTAGCAGAAGAAGTTGTAAAATTTAGAAAATAGAATGATCCTTTCTGAGTTGTAAGAGGGCGAATTTTGCCAAGAAGGTAAAGATTCTAATGATTGGAGGAAGGTGGGGTCAATGCTTGCTAGATTTGGAAATGGCGGAGACGGACCAGCAATGTGAGCCCTCTGGGAAACGACAGGTATCATTTTACTTACTAACACCTGCCTGACGCTTGTCAGTTAGTAAATGTCTTTCCACGTCTTCTTTTTCTTTTCCTTTTTTGTTTTGGATTTCTAATAGGGTTATTATCACTTTACCTCCTTAAACTGTATCACAACTATCAGTTTACCCCATAACGTTATTTTTTAGTTACTTCACCCCCATAAGTAATTTAATTCAACATGTTAAGAAATTTCAGACAAAAATACCCTTTTATTCTATAGTATTACTACATTGTTATTATTACTTTATTCCTTTAAATTATAGTGATATAATCGATTTAATTCCTAACTTTATTTTCTTGGAATTTTATTTCATCGTTAATCTAACTAGTATGGTCAAAAATTGTTAAATATATTTACCCTTATATATATAATTAAAAATAAAAAATTTAGAATGATTATTCTTCTTTTTTTCACTTTAAGAGATCCATAAATATAAAAATAAAAGGGTTTTCTCAAATTTCTTTTTCACACTTATTAATATTAGGAAAAGAAAAAGAGATAGGAAAAAAAGAGACAGAAAATTAGATTTTGCAAAGAAAAAGATAAAAAAAAGTCTAACATTATCATATTAATTTAAGGTTGTTGGGATTTGGATTGAAATCTCGTGGTAAACAGTAAAGTGAAATAATTTTAAAATAATAAAAGTATTTAATTCTTTCTTATTTGTATTTTCTAAAAAAAGAATTGAGCTCTCTCTATCTATCTCTCTTTCCCCCTCTCCCTATCTTTCTATTTTTTTAATATTAATTTTCCAAAAAGAAATAAATTAATATTTTGACTTTTTTTATACTAAAGAGGAGAAGAACCACTCTAAATTTTTTATTATTTTTATTATACAAAAATGAGGGTATTTTTTTCTAAAGTTTTTTAACTTGCTAAGTTGGTTTAATTGTTAGATAAATTGTCTAAAAAATAACTTTATGGGATAAATTGATAATGAGACTATAGTTTAGGGGAGGTAAAATGATAATAACTTTAAAGGTTAAACTTGTCCTTTTACTTTAATTAACAAACTCCATTAAATTTGACCGTTAGTCTTGGGGGTAAAGTAACTAAAAGATAACGTTAAGGGGGAAATTGATAGTGGCACCGAATGTTAAGGGGATAAAGTGATAATAACACTTTCCAATATGCCCTTTTTTTTCTACCTATCTTTTTATTTTTTTATTTTCATTCTTTCCCTATTTTTTAGATTAATCTTGACATTCATATGCTTGCATTTTGTACAACTCATCTAATTTTTTCTTAATCAAAGATTGAGGAGCTGAAGAAGACATTTTAGCTGTCATCTTCGTGCCTTACTGAAATTTGTTGGATGTTTTCTCATTCTTGAAGAATATTACATCACATTCCATAACATGTAAACTCCGAGCCAGTTACAATTGAAGCCTATAAGTGAGCAGAAGACTCCATCTTCTGTCTCAAAGTCAGAAATAAAAATGCAAAACAACAAAGTATACATCCTTAATCCCAAAAAGAAACCATCTAAAAAGAAACCCCAAAATAACTGATAAAAAAAAAAGAAAACAGAAACGTGATCATAAAATATAAAGATCAAAAGAAAATTTCCAGATGCCCAAATTGTGCATGCAAGATTAATCCTAAGATAAATACTCACAAGGTGGTTTTATTATTTTGAAAACAAAGTTCAACTTTAGCCATTTCAAGTATAACGTGAGAATTACTATAAATACTCAGATAAGTCAATATCTGTTTGACAGAGGTAGACTTAGCCATGTTATTTTAAGGGTTTTTTTTAACAGATGTTATGTGGCACTCGTTAACATACCTATATTCTACCCAATTTATTGTGTACATACACACACACACTAATGATTATTACTTTCTCTTATATTTATATAATTTTTCTAATTAATTTCCTTATATTTATATATTTTTTCTAATTAATCTTATATTTTTAAAAATCTAACACCTGAAATACATGTTAACGAGTGCTTACAGGATATTCGTTAGACAGACCGATATTTTAAACATCCTTATTCGAATGATTTTCCTGCGGACTAAATCTAATCAGCAAGAATATTATCATACACATACAGACAAATTGGTTTTTGCAATTTTGGTCGCTCAGCACAATCTCTCTCTCTCTCTCTCTCTCTCTTCTAAATTAGAGCCCCTTTTTCAGTTGATATTTTTTGGAAGGATATCTCGACCTCTATCTCTTTTCTTCTGTTCTCATTAGCCTTCTGAGAATGGACATTTGTTTAGGAATATCCATTATCAGAATTGAGTATAGACCATAAAATATTTCGTGAGAGCCAGGGAAAATGTTCCTTTCTAGGCAAATAAGTGTATAGCAATGCAGACCTTTAAGTTAAAGTTGTAGCAAGTAGCCACCAAAGCAGAATGTGCCTCAAGATTTTTCTCCTTGGATGCGGCCAAATTGGGGGACATGCTCGTGGAATTGGTATTCAACGTCGGACCCTACCACTTGGATCGGATGAGATGAGATGATCCTGATTCATTTTTATCATGATTGACCATCTAATTCCCTCTTGGTCCTTGACAGGGGAGACTGGCTGAACAATTCCAAGCTCCAGATGGAACTCGAATGTACCCCTTTCTTATCGTATATGACCAATTGACTACATATTATGAGACTAAGTTTTAAAAAAAAAAAAAAAAAATTTCCACATTTTTGTATGGTAGGAAATGATCTTCTACAAAAGTCTAGTTTAGATTTGAAACGGATGGATGGTTCTCGGAAAATTGCATGGTGGCTGTTATCTTTACAAGTAGGAAGGATTTTTAGAAGTCTAGAAGAGAAAAGATATGCCAAATCTTCACTTTTCTGTAGAAACAGTGAAAGGAGAAAACAAACTAAATCCACTCTTATCTGTTTGTCATAGCATATCACATCATAGCAACAAATCAATAAATAAACAAATCCTAAGAGAAACCTAATTCCGCACTTCTTTGTGACATTTTGATTTCTTCACTGATTGCACAAAAGGGGCAAGTCCTTCAACAATTTCTGTCAGCCCTTTACTTAAAACTAGATGCACACGACATACATACCTTAGGATGTTGAGATTTCAAGTTGTACATTAGTACATGAAATGTGAATCTAGAAAACCCCTAAAAAAGAAAAAAAACCCAGACGAAAAGAAAACTTTTTGTTAAAAACATCATACACGAGTCAGATGAGATCTGACTATGCGGAGACTAAAGGAGGTGTTTGGTAAAAGGGTTTCAAAATAAGGAATATGCTTCTATTCCAAACGATTTAGTTCGTTACATTCGTAATCTCAAAAGACGTTGTATAATATTTATTGAAGAATTCTTAATAAGATGGTTTCTTAATAAGGCGATAAATCATTCCACCTTCTCCTATATATGAAGTAAAACTTCAATCCCATACTAAAAATTTAAGGATTATTTCCACTTCGTACTCTTGGACTTGTACTTCTTTCTCATTTTGCATCCCTAGACTTACAATTTTAAGGGCACTTTGTACTCTAACTTCTCATATTTGTCTCACTTAAATCCTATTGATCGACGTTAGTCATAGCAAACTAACAGAATAGAGGACTTGCACACGACATGAACCTAAACCACTTTACTGGATAGCAGTGTAATATCATCATCTCACAATCCCTATTAGTCATGCAAAAAGGTGAATCATTTGTACGGCCCTTCGTTCCTTCGATGTTGCTAAAGTCATTATCAATTGGACTTAAAAAGATATAAATACGAGAGTTTAGAATGTAAAGTGTCTAAAATTGAAATATAAGAGTATAAGTTTGGAAGCACAAATTGAAATTAGTCCAAGATATACCATGGGACAAGGGCTGATAAATCCCACCAATCTCACATTAGATGAGTTTTTTTTCACTTTTGTCCATTCTTGAAAAAAAAAAATAAAAAAAAATTCATACTTGAGAAACACAAACCAAAATGCTGTTTTACTTTTGGAAGCAACGTCTTGGGGAGGTAGTCGGTTTTTGTCCTTTTCTTCTTTAATTGGTTTCCTATAGCTTTATGGATAAGATAATAAATCATCTTATCTCCCCGTGCAAATTGACCACAGACTGTCGGTACCAATCATTAGCTGGTTAACCAAAGCAAGATCTTCCCATCAACTTTTTGAATTTCGTTAGCACAAGTTTAGATTTAATAACAGTTGTGAAAAATACTAGTCTACTGTTAGATTTTACCCAAATGATCGTTCTTTCCCAAGAACATTTCTAAGCATAATTTCCACTATTTTCTTCAACAAAGAATACAATTTTTTTTTTTTTTTTGGCTAGATAAATTCAAACTTTAGCACTTGAAGATCACTGCTCAAAGAATAGTGGATAAGCAGACAACTAAATCATGGAGGCTCTATATTACTCCAGAACTTTCAATACTAGGCCCACCGCATTGTAAAATGAAATTGACAGATCAACTGACACTTCTAGGGTTCTCTTGCTTGTTCTTGTTCCATTGAGACCATATATGATTTTAATTTAGTTAAGATAGGGTGTTTTCGGGGGCGAAGCTAGAGAAGAAATTCGGTGGGGGCAAAGTTAATATATGAAATTTTACTAATTATGATATGAAAAAATATGTTTAACTAACAATCTACTAATTATAATAATATACGCCAATTTAGTAATAAAGCAAATATCAAATTTCTAATAAAGAATTCTTCCACTTCTCCTCTCACAACCCTAATAAATTTAATCTGGATTTTTTGTTTAGATGAAATAAAAAATGAGCAATTGTCAGTTCTAATGTGTAGTGAAAAAGTTTTTTTTTAAATGGGTTTGCACCGGGAGCGCATTAGAATAGATAAAGAAGAAGAATAAATGCAAATGGAATCTATTTCTTTGTTTAAACAAGGTGGTGGTATAATTTATTTTAAGTGTTGTCAAATTATTTGGACATAAAGACATATAAACAAAGTGTGTATTACTACTTTAGGTGAGGGTGAGGGTGATTTCATTCAGGTATGGAGGCAAACCTATAATTTTATACGCATATATGCAGATTTTGGTTGGGGTAATTCTTTAATGCTTAGGTTTTGTTGAATAGTACTGGGCGCAAAACTACAATTTTATATGTAGGTATGGAGATTTTGATGGGATCAATGGAGGCAAAGGGTAATTCTCTAATACTTAGATTTTGTTTAGTGGTATAGTGGGGGCAACTTTATTGAAGTGTGAGAGGTAAAATTACAATTTTATAGGTAGATATGGAGATTTTGATCTCAATCTCTGAGTATTTTCCATTAGTTTTTGTCCTCTATGATATTTATGAAAAACCCTATTTGATTTTAGACCACCCTGCCAAGATTTCTAGGACAGGTAGGAGAACAGGTTATACAAAATGATGCTAGTTCATCAATACATGTAGGGACTTTTCTTGCACCATGCCTCTTAAAAAGTGGGTTTAATCTGATTTCTCCAAAACTGTCTTACACGGTTTAAAGGGTCCTTAAACCAAAATCAGTGGCGTTTTCCAGTTAAACACAAGCTAAAATATATGTCAAAAAAGTTATGCAGGATGCCTTGAAAACAATCGAAGACCGAACACTAATTTTGCAAGAATCTGTTGCTTTTGTCTTGGGCAAATGAAACCAGGTCCCATACATCCAATCAAGGTATTTTATAAACACCCAGTGACTGGTGCTGGACTGGCTTTCCAGTCGGTAGAAGCCAAGAAAAACTAGGGAGGAAGCTCAATATCAAACAATAATAACCAAGGTCCTACCAATGTCAGGTAGTTCAATCACTCATCAACCAAAGTCAACCTGAAGGCAAGCATTTATAAACACACAGTGCCTTGTGGATGATCCTAGAAAGAAAACTCGTTCCAACGGTGCAGCCAAGTTGTTGAAGAAGCTGCTAAATTTTGCACGGCAAACATTTTCCATATCCAGGTGAGGACATCCTATTTCTTCATGCCTTTCTATTCACAGGTGTGGGATTTTATTACTAAAATGTAAGTTTTGGGTTGCTAGGAAAAATCAGTGCATTGGCAGCGGTACCAACATTCTATCTCAAGGACAAAAGGTGTAGGTAGGAGATAAGCACCAAAGGAGAGGATCATATTCTGACAAAGAGCAAGTAATAATTATGGGTGTTGACACTTTGACAGCTGATGCCATCAATGATCAACAAGGACATAAACAGGAGAAATGAGAAAACACAACATGTTCCAGTTCCACAATGGAGTTGGAAGACAGATCTGGTAGTTACTCTGGTAACGACAAATATAGAAAACAAGATCATCATCAAGACAGAGTGTAAAGGTACAGTAACAGTTCTATCAACTTACTCAAAGATTGTAAGGGGGTTGGTTTGATGGATCAATGTAGTGCACTGCATGCATTATGGCACTGTCAGCTATCAACATCGGCAGCACCACCAGCATCAGTTTAGCAATTTGTTAGCGACATTGGTACATGGCACCATAAATGGTTTTCTGAATTTGCTTTAAAATATCGAACCATGGTGTACTCTATTTTACCACAAAGATGGAATGCTAGACAGATCATCTGGTACGGCAAATGTAGGCCAAAGATGAATAGCAGCAACAAATGCAAAAGTGGTCCATTTCTTTTTGGTCTCTGCGTATTTAGATGGGGCAGATCATTTGTCAAAATCAAGTGGGGCATTAATTATTGGCTTCTCTTGCACCAAAAATCAAGAAATTTATTGTTTCCATCGCTTTCACCAAAGAAACAAGACCCTTTGTAGGCCTCCACATATCCAACATGCCCATAAATACAAGGCAGAAACACAGTTGGTAAAGCATGGGATATTTCGGTATGCGTTCAAATATTGTGACGTAACGCGACTAATTGTCTTTCTTCTGTTATCAAAGAACCACATCCTACTTGGTCTGAATTTGAGCTCAAAAAACACAGAAACAGCGACAAATAGCAAAAGACACAAACAAAAGCATACTGTACGGATGTCATTTCAGGGGCTCAAATGTCCTGTTCCAGTCAATTTGGCACACATGGTTAACCCCTGTAAACATGGACAATCTGCAGACATGCTGTACCAGCAATTATGGTCAGAGAGGTTTCCAACCCCTTCTGTCCCGTTCAAGCCAAATACACACCCTCGGAAGATTATTGTACATTGGAACAAGGGTTCAAAACCCAACATCCAACGTAGAAGGCCTCTACATTTCATGCCACGCCCGCTTTCAACCAGGTAATACAAATTAAGTAACTGGAGTAACGTACAAACGAAAAATATGAAGCAAGTAATCGAGAAATTTGGGGCAAAAAGTTTACAAAGAGAAGAAAAAGGCATTATCAGTCCGTTTCAATATCAATATACACCTTAAGGTTGTCTTTACATCTGTAAACGTTCACAATACAACAGAAAGAATTAATTTCATGCGTCAGATCATAAGGATTTCATTACTCCCAGGGTGGGTTCAAGCCAGTCGATAAAATGTTCACCCTCACCTATGGTTCTATGCTGCTGTCAGTGAAGGAAAAACTATCGGTTGATATAGAGCTTCAAGCATCAGAAAGCAAGAAGCATATGGTGTTTCTATTGTACTATAGCACCGGACAGAATAAATCACCCACAGTCAGTCAGGAAACTTTCCTTCTGGTTCTATAAGGAAAAGAAACTCTCTCCAGTGAATACAGAACATGAATTAGCAAAGATGCTACTAAACTTTCCTCCTGATACCATGTTTCATAGTCTTGACTCTTAACCCAAGACATTGTTATCCAAAACCAATTCAGTTCCCGGTAGAATGTCTAGTTTCAGAGGATATGCTGCATTTTCAAGCACCTAAATATATTATAGGATGACAACCAAAAAAAACAGCAGGATCCTCCTCACTTTCCACGTCCTAGAGTTAATACCCAAGGAAAAAGGAAGAAAATCTCACAATATTAAAAAAAAAAAAAACAGTCAGCACATCATCAATTAGGAGCATTCTCAACCAAGGAAAACAAGAATAAGCCATCTTTTGGAGCCTAATTTTATGCATGATACTAACTGGAAAATATATGTGCATTTGTCTATAATGCATGGTGAATGAAAAATGAGTGTATTCCATGGAAGTCACCAAGCTCACTCTGAAAATACGTGCCTGCTATACTCAAAGTCTCAAAAATAATTCTCCTCATGAGGATGATAACAATTTTATAAATAGCCAAAGTTCAATTGAAGCATATGAAAACCATGCGGAATTTGAATAGCATCTTGTTGACCAAGAGATCAGTTGATAAGAACTATTTACATAGCACCTTGGTCGTTCTCTGTGGAAAATATTACACTGAAACTAAAGGTTCTAGTACAGATACAAGACATTTTTTGATTGGCTATGCTCCAAAAACCTCATGACCAACTAGGGGCCTTTTACTTCTCAACCACTACAATGAATGATGAATTGATTCCACATCATTGGCTATTGCTTCCTCTTTGATCGACTTACAGTGGAGATCTCTCGTAAAGCTTGTAGTTGTGTCCAAGAAGTAAAGAAGAAATATCATCATACAGCAACAGACAAACATGGGAATAGGTCCAAAAATCCAAAGGAAAAGAGGGAATGACATATAAAATGCTCTTAATCCAAGTGACCAGAAGAAGCTTCCTCTGTTCAAATTTCTTGCAACATACTCAATACAGTCGTTTTGGTCCTTGAAGGTAGGCACAGTAGCTAAGAAGCTAACATGTGCATAGTATCTAATAGACTGCACATTGCAAAGAAAAGCAACAAGAAAACAAAGCAAGATAGAAAAGAATTTGACAGAAGACAAAAATGAAGTCTTATTTCCATAAACTAACTTTGAAGACGAAGAATTTGAGGCATTGCTTACAAAGACACTTATCAGAGAGCTAAGAGTAATAGCTGTTGTTGCCAATAGAGTTGATGCCATTATGTTGTTGCGTAAAGTTTGGACTGCCAAAACACCATTCTTAAGTGGATCCTGCAAACACTTTACATGAATCAATTCTGATAAATAATGCCAAACTAAAGACGACCTACTATTCTCATCACATGTTATCCATTTTGACAAGCTGGGAAACAGAATTAAAGATTAGAGACAATGAAGAGGGGAATGTGTCATAAATATGTGGAACACAATCTTTCAGTAATGGACTACCTAATATAAGGGTAAAAGCTATCCTTATAATGGACTTTTTCCTGGGTGGGTGGTGCACTTGCAAGAGCGGGATGTCCTGGGGGTAGGAAGGATGTGGGGAGGGATGGAAGGGTATAAAAAAAAAAAAGAGTGGGGTGTGCTTCTTATGTGAAATTTCAACCAAAAAAAGGATTATATACCGCTTTAAGATTGATACCTTAACATGAGGTAAATTGCCCAAGTACGCTCTCTGAAAACTACCTATCGAGACTTTACTGAAGTTACTTGTAAATGAATATTATGTCAAGCCTATAAATTGGGATCCAAAACAGTCGTAAACATGTTCCATAGGAGTTCAGCCTGCTGAATTTTATGTAGGTTATGACTGCTTTTTGTTGACAATTTAGCAGCTATGTTGCATCATAATTTGACTTTGAAGAACCCAATAAAAGTATGCAGAAACTCTAGCCCGTAATCAACCCCTTTGATGATAATCATCAATCTTTCTTGCGATTGATTTTTCAATAAGGTTAAGAAGACAGCATTTGGGTTAAAGATGTTAATGAATGAGGCATCGACCAATGTATCAACGAAAGATTTGAAACAAATGTTTTTCCTGAATAACATAAGATAAAAATAGTTTAATCCAAGCTCATTTTATAGGAGCAAAGACTATTTTTTGACAAAAAGCAACAGGAGTAAATTTCTTTGTTCTGTTTTTCAACTCCATTATGAACCAATAGGAGCATTTGCTTCTCCTGGCGGCCACCACCACTTTCAAATACTTGCTTTCATCGCTTCCCTTCCCTTCCCCATCACCTGCCCTTGATCTATATGCTCAAATCAATTATCCTCCATCCCATTTAACTCACTAAGAAAGGAAAAATCATGGGCAACATGATCAAAAAAATCATGGGCAACATGATCAAAGTAAAGGTAGAACACTAACTAATGAGGACAATTCAGAAGAGGGGAAATCAAAGGAAATTAGAAACATAAGCTGACATCAATAATAGACGAAAAGATCATACCTAAACGTGGAGGGCATCAGTGCAAATCTTGAAATAACATCCCATCGATGACAGGACCCATCAGTATAAGAATTTTTAGTACGAATTACAATCATCCAGCATAATTTCAAGCACACAAGCATGCGTGTAAAATAAGCATATGTGCCTGTTTGCATAATTTCTACTAGAATAAAGCAGCCGAACCACTTTAATCCCTATCACCCCATTTACGATCATAAACAGCAGACAAGGGAAAAACACGCGAAAACTCCTAACTATCACCAAAAGATATATTACTACTTTTCCCTGATAATTGCTAATATAATTAACATCACATGCATATAACATGTCTGATGAAAGAAAAAGTGGGATAGAGGGTTGAGGAACTAACATTCATCATGGAGAAAACCCAATTTCGACGGCTTTCAGCATTGAGTCCCACAACAGTTTTCCTGGGATTGTATATAATGGTGTAAAGCAGCCAAACATGATAAACCAGGAATATGAACATCCCCAGAGGCACCAGAACATAATCCAGCTGCTTCTCCTCCATTTGAACAGGTACTCCTTTTCTGCTTTTGGAGAATCCTCAAGAAATCTATCTACTCTCCTTTTTCTTATTTTTGGATGAAAAAAATATAAAGATAGCTTATCCGATGGCCAAAGTGAGGCCACTTTACCATCTTATGACCGCCTGAGCATAGTCATAAATGCACTAGTCGACTCCCCAAAGTGGAAAAGCGGTTCCATCCCAGCTGTTAGAAGTTCGTTGTCCACTCCGAACTATGTGGAATTTTAGATTATGACGCGGCATAAATTATATTACATACTTACGTGGGAGTATACGAACTGTTTTGCTCTCAGTTGTTTCTTATCCCGTCAGGCCATTAATAATTGATGATTGATGTTTCACGTTGTGAACTTTTTTAATTCAGGATAATCAGAGTTCACTGTTAAATATCATATTTGAATATTTGATTTGGAAAGACAATAAGTTAATTAATGATTGAGTTCATTATACCATATGATACAATTGATTAAGAAATGCAAAAAAAAAAAAGAAGCAAGAATAATACACGAATATTAAGACAAATTTTTGAGTTAAGACAAAAGGTTTATAAGTAATGGAAGTGTTAAACATTTAGGTCCGGCTTGATAACCGTTTGATAACCAAAAATTGAACATCTGAATTAATTAGGTGGCACTGAATTTCTAGACAAAATTTGCTCTCAAAATTAAGTGATAAGTTATTCACTTTTTACTGATCGTGTGATATGCACTCTAATATATTAGATTTAATACTTAACAATTCAATAACTTAATGTATTCAAATTTCATATTTCAGATTTCAGACTTCAGTTTTCAAATTTCAATTTTATCAAACGCACCCTTATTCTATCCAAACTTTTAACTGTGACTAACCTTTTAGAAATCTTTTTTTTTTCGCAAGCCAACTGTCATTTTATTGATGTGCAAATTCAGCTTTACAATGGAGAAGAGCTCCTACTACATCTGTTTTTAGACCGTGAAAATTCATTAAAAAAGGATAGGAAAAGGAAGACCAAAAATTATAGTAATGAACGTTCTTTATG